CCATACCATCAAAGAATTTATAACGACCAAATTCACAAAGTTCCAGGCTACGTAGGGCATGTAAATTTGCTTCAGTCTGGGCCAAAAGATAGACTCCAACCCCATGGTTAGGGTTGATTGATAAATGTGTTAATTTTTCCCTGTGATACATTTATTTATTTATTATTTTATATAACTTCAAGAACCTAAGTAATTGGTTAAACTTGCTAATTTGTGCTAATAATAAAAATGGAAAAAATTGTCAATTAAGACTTTGCTTCCTAAGCGATGAAAAATACACACTCATTACTTTACTTTTTTTTTTTTAGCTTTGATTGAATTCCATTGTTTGTTATAATCCAGTGAATCACTTTTACTTGTTACTCAGGCAAAAGGATGGATCATTTTGGCAGTTTGATTAATATATCTGGGTTTATTTATTTATTTATTTTTTATTTATTTAAAAGGAAAATGTGTTGATTACCAATTTCTTAATTAGATAGCCTTAATTTTAATTTAATTTTTGATTTTAATAGTATACAATTTAATTAAAATTAGTCATAATGGCCTATAACCAAGAATATTCAAGTAGCTCAGATTAGGATTATTTATTAATTTTTCAAACTTATTCATTTCAAAGATTTTCAATCCGCCATCTGAAACTAAAAATGCAATAAAAAACAACATTGGAAGAAGGTGGCAACGGTGGAAGGTGGGGTCGGCAGAGATGCTCTCACATATCAAGAGGACAGTTGTGCCCTTGGAGGAACTGACTTGTAGAGCTGTCATCTTCGCCCGATTCAGGTGTGCAAAGTTGACACACTTTTGGGCCAAATCCAGCAGGTCGAGAAAGCTCGATGTGTCCCACCTAATTGAACGGTGTAACTCCTTGGCTCCATATAGTGTGTAGGAAGGCCATCTGATATCAGAATAATGCTTGAGCTGGGCAGCAAGTCTTGGAGGAAAGAGGATTTTTTGTTGTACAGTACTGATAGTTTTTTGAACTTAGCGTGGAGAGTGAATAGTATGACAGGGCCCATGGTAGAGTACTGGGACCTCCATTGACCCTCAATTACTACTCCACCAACCTGAGTGAATGGAAAATAAATAGGAAAACATGTACTTTAGAATGAGTGAAAGTGTGAATGGGCTTGGATCTGGAAGCTGATTGCATCAGAGATGATTTAGATTGTGCTAAAATGACAGCTGCTGGTAGCTCCCGAAACCTGACCTTAGCAGCTGGACAGATAACAAACCAGCAAACACCCAAGGGAGTTGATTCTTGAAGCATGGCGATAATTTGTTGTAAATTACAAAAGCTGGAATCCCCAGTGGACTGCAAGTAGTGATAGGCTCAATTCTTTATGTCTATATACATATATACACACGTGCAGATCTGAACTTATAATAATTCTGAACTTAAGTAATAATTTCCAGGGCCAAATATAAATTATGAACCCAAGTTGATCATGCTACTCTCTCCTAGGTTTTTTAGATGTTATCAACTCAATGCCGAAAACTATCACATGAATAGGTAAATTTAAAGTTATGAAATTCATAATAATCAGTGAGTGTAATAATATTTATAAAAAAGAAATGTGGTAAGGCTAACTGTAAAGTTATGACTAAAACAGGATCAGTCGTCGCTTACTCATTAGAATTCTGATTTGTCCCTCCAATGATAATTTACAGCTTTCATAGAAAGATTACAACATTATCGACTATAAAATGGGTATTGTTTTATATTTAAGAATTAAACAAGAATTTAACCAAAAACTCTTCAATGTTGGATCAATTATTTAAATTTTTTGTTAGAAGTGGTTTATTTTTTCAATAATTTTTACTTAGTTTGGTAGTAAAACTATTTTAAATCTAAAAAGTTTTTTTTTTTTTTTTTTTTTTTTAGCTAAACACTATTTTTCTGCCATATATTTTTTTAATTGAAAATTCATTTCCACCCAGGACCAGAGACGTGGCCAGAAATGCATTAGCAAGCAACAGGGCTTAAAAATAAATGGTGTGTTTAGTTTAAAAAAACAAACAAAAAAAACAGCTTTCTTGATTTAGAATTGTTTTTGTTTTTTTTATTCTGTAGAAATACAATTTTTGTTATTCAAGCAACACTTCAATGTGCAAGGAGCATAGATTATTTTTAAATCTAAAAAGTTGGTTATTTTTTTCACTACACACCATCTATTTTTCTGCCATATATTTTTAATGGCAAATTCATTTCCACCAGGACCGGAGACAGGCCGGAAATGCATTAGCAATTTCTTAAAAAATGGCATAAAAATAAATGATGTGTTTAGTTAAAAAAAATAAAATAAAAAAATAAAAAATAACCAGCTTTTTTTATTTAAAAGTATTTTTTCATTCAGATCTGTAGAAATACAATTTTTTTTATTCAAGCACCACTTCAATGAAATGAACAGAAATTATTTTTAAATCTGAAAAGTTGGTAATTTTTTTAAACTAAACACACCTCTATTTTTCTGCCATATAGTTTTTTAATCGCAAATTCATTTCCACCAGGCCCAGAGACGTAGCCGGAAATGCATTACCAATTAAAAAAAAAAAAATGGCATAAAAATAAATAGTGTTTGGTGAAAAAAATAAATAAATAACCAGCTTTCTTGATTTAAAAGTGTTTGTTCATTCAAATCTGTAGAAATACAATTTTTGTTCATTCACTACTTCAATGTTAAACGAACACAGAAATTATTTTTAAATCTAAAAGTTCATACACCACCATATTCCTGCTTCTTTTTTATCACAAGTTCAATATCTTTACATTGTTGATTTAAGAGATAAGTTTCATTGCTCTGACAGATAATATTATTAAGACCCATAAAATAATTAATTATATCGTTATTTCTTAGAAAATTTTAAGTTTAGATCAAAAAATGTTTACTTTTTTCTCAATAGCACATCTTTAGGCCAAGATTAGATACGCTTTATCTGATGACTAAGCCAAAAAGGCGTGTAAAATGTAGTGACGTTAACAGATGTAGAATGACAATATTTTTTATTTTTAATCGTGGGAATTCGGAATAATGTCATTCCGGTTTGGAAAAGTATGATGCAATAAATTTGAATTTGGAATTAAAATGAAACTATACGTCGGGTCTTGGCCAAAATCCTGTTTCAAAGTAACTTGTTTCTTTTTCAGTTTTTCCTGGAAGGATGTGACATCCTGACATGATATTCTTCCAGACTCGGGAAATTTGTCGCTGATGAGGGGACATGTGATTCCCGAAACCCGAAATATATATGAGTCGTATAAAAAAAAAGGTTCCTTCGTTCCATGTTGTTAAATAACCTGACCACAGATTACTTCTGTTCAATACAGAAAAGGAATAATTAGAAATCTTTATAGTATACTCTGAGGGAAAAAATGGTTATGTTGGAGTAAGTAAGGGTGTTTCAGATTTGCCACGCTAGGTTTGAATCTCGGCATAGCTTATCTGCTATTTATCCTTTTGACGCTGGTGTATCTCAAGGCAGTATACTTGCACCACTCCTCTATACCTCTACAAGGCCGGCATTCTCCTTCATCGTAATACCATTATCACACCATTAAAGTTAGGCGCCACCTTACAGTGCAGTACCCACTAGTCACTTTTATGTAGCACAAGGTTTCCAAATCTGCTATTTATCCTTTCAACGCTGGTGTATCTCAAGGAAGTATACTTGCACCACTCCTATATACCCTCTACAAGGCTTGTATGTCGTATGTATATGTATGTTGCTTGCACACTCCGAAGCAAATCTCCTCTCACAATATACTATAATAAAGTTTCTATCTCCCAATCCGACTCCGTTAGTTACTTTGGTTCCACCTAGACTCACGTTTAACTTCGAATCAGCGTACACGACTGCAACGACAGTCCTAACAGACGTCTACTCTTCTCTCTACTATACATGTCTATAATATCAAGGTATCAACGAAAAACTAACTTAGAAATATCAAAACGCTACTACAACCATAGTATCCGGTATAAAACCTGGGGAACCGCTGAACCTAACATCTAAAATCTCCAACCCATTCGGTTTAAACTTCTCAGAACTATTATAAATACTGCGAATGTCTCTAATACTACCCTCCACAACGACCTAAGAATCCTTTTTATCAAAAATTAATTTTCAAAAAATTTACCAAGTCCCACAATAATCTTCCTCACCATCCAAATAATATCGCCCAAGCCTTGTACAACAGAGACCATCTCAACAATCCCATAAGGCTTCTCAAGAGAAACTGACCCCGACCTCGTTTTTGAGTAGTAGGCATTGAAGTTTATTTAGTGAAATGAAGTAGGAGAATAATATTAATTATTTGATCTCCTCAATGTAAAATGTGTAGTTTTTTGTTTTTTTAAGAGGGTTCGCAAAATCAAAGGTTATATCAACCCTCGGCGTGCCAGTTTTTTTGAAAAAAAGCCCAGTTGTAAGTATGTCGGGTTCGTATGCAGGGCCGCTGGATTCGAACCCGGTACCTTTACTTTACAGTGATGAGCGCCTTGTCAACGCCTAAACCGTTGCGGCCACCGACGCCCCTAATGTATACAGTTTTAAATATATCGGTGTATCATAAAATTCCAAATTGTAACAAAAACGGGATATTGAAATTTTAAACAAATCCTACGAAAAACTACGATTTAGGATTAGGTTCTCAACTTACATTACACAATTAAAAAATAAATAATAAATTAAATAAAAAGCCTTTATTCAGCACCGCTTATGGACTAGAAGTCTACGGGAGTGCAAAGATCATGCGGTAATGGAAGCAAATTATATCTTGGACAAAAGAATACATATTTTGATATGTATGTGTAATTTCATCAGACACGTGAAATTTATGCGTTTTTATTAATTTTAAGGATTGGACAGTTTGTATGCGGCTTATGTTGGAATGTTTGGCTGAACCTTGCACTTGCAGTTCGCAAGTCCGTATCGGTTTCACTATGGTGTAATAAAATGTCCTTTTACTTTTATCAGCTTATTCTCGCTTTTTGGGCATGACAGCCTGTTTCACTATCTCAGTCGCGTCCCCACCCCCGTCAAACTCAGAACTACATAACAAGTGTCGGTTCCCAGTTAAGTGTTAACACCGCTTCGGGAGACATGGCAGGTTGGTAAATCCCTATAGAAATTTATGTAACCTCATTAATATGTTTGTTAATGTTTTTTTTAACAGAAATATTAATAATTCATTACTAATTAATGATCACTTTATATGAGAATTATTTATTATTATTAAAGGTTCAATCCATGTGTGCATGTACAGAACATATAAAACATTTATTTTGAATTATGAAATTCTAATTCGCCTTGTAAATTTTAGCAAGTCAGTAAAAAAATTCTAAAAAAAAGTCAGTTTCATAAAATGAAAGTCGCTTATTTATTTAATGATTAAAACACTATAATGTGGGGTGGTATAATGTGGCTCAAAAAGTGCACCTTTTTACGTAATTGGTCAAATTTACTTGTTTTTTTTTCGGTTCGTCGCTCTGCCTTTTGGGTTACGCCCAGTTTTTCATTCTTTCCGTCAAAAAAAGACAAAAACATCCATGAATATTTATTTATCTATACCGATGGAGGGGCTAGTTATTTTCGGTACCGGCCCTGAACAATGACAATGTGGAAATGTTTCTACTATGAAAATCAATTATTATTGCAATCCAGTTAATATTGATGACTAAAAGTGAAATACGTATGACACATCGGTTAAAGATAAAATGTGTTTTCCTTGTAAACAAAATAATCATTTGTTTAAAGAGCACTTTAAAATATGACATTCTAAAGGCTCGGTTGCAACGAATTGATTTAAACTCAATTCAGCGCTAAACCGAGTTCAACTCAAAAATTGCCGTTTTTCAGTTTGAATCGCATTCAAATGAAGATCCTGGTTCAAATCTGAACGGCCGTCGAGCAGGGGTTAAACGACGAGCTGAACGACGCCCATTTCATAATACACTGATAGACAAATTTAACTACTCAATTTACTCAGTTTAAAATTAAATCATCTTTCTACATTTGATACAAATAATTAGGAGCTATGGTAGTCAAAATAAACAGTAAATAACGCTTTATTTACTTCCTTTATTTATTTTTGTATTTATTAATCCCATTTGTACAAAAAGTAGCATTATGTCCTTCCATTCTGCTCTTCTCCATAATCCATTACAGTTCGTGGTCCGATTGACCAATTAACATTTTTCAATTAATTAATATTTATGAAAGGTATTGGTCGAGATAAAAAGTTATGTCACGAGCGGGATTCGAACCCATGATCTTTGGCCAAATACGCCGCTCCTCTACCACTTGAGCTATCGTGACTTCGATCCGCTCGGGCACCAACTTCCCACCTCAAAGTCGAGAGGTGAGGTTGTGAGTATGACAGTGTCAGGGTCATAATTATGAGAGGAAGGATACAGCCAGCGCGAAGTCGCCAGAAGACAGTGTAAATCACTCTACAATAGGAAGGGTTCTTCGGCGCTTCAGACATTAGAAGGCGAGGGCAGGGTCGATCTAGGTCTATAGATGAGTCATCCGTCATCAGGCTCTACGAAACCGCAGCATTACGGGAATGAGATAAGAAAACTGATAAGACGTCCGATATGTTTCGGTTTCCTCCAGGTCTGTAAGAAGTCTCAATGAAAACAAAATATGGGTAACCGGTTCGTGGACCTCTTCTTACCACAGCTCTAAAAATGGCCAGGCTTCAATGCTCGCGTTAATTTGTGAATTGGACAATGGAAGATTGGGAACCAATTCACATTACAAATGAGGTGAGTGTTGGCCCCAGATCTTCAGTTTTATGGTTCCTCAGGTGGCATTCCGCGGTGGGTCGTTGATGTTCTGAGGTTTCCTTGGACGCCCGCACTGAATTGGTTGTTGTGGAATTTTGTCCATCAGTGTAATATGTTCTGTCTGTTATTAAAGGCGTGATCTCCTGTTTCAACTTTTGATGTTTTTGATCAAAAGTTCAATAATTTTTTTTTAAAGCCCCGAGCGAGCGGAAGTAGAACACTACACCACTCAATATACAGTCACATCAATAAAATACATTCATCACCTCATCATACATACATTATACATTCATCATCATATATCATCCTATATACATTGATCACACTCATTCTGTTTGGTAGATGGAATGCTCGATATTCCTACAACTATTTGCTCGCTAGAAAAAAACTAATCTAAATTGGGGTCGATGGCGTATTTGTATAAATTACGCCAAGTCATACGCCTATGTGCTTTTCTGCTCGTAGAACTTCATCTGCCCGATAGCTAAAGGTGTTGCTCGGAAGCCGAAGAGAATTCTTGCATTTTGGACATTATTTCGTTTGTCATTGCTGTAAGGCGGTTTTTCAATGTGTGTACAGATTCAGCTAACCCATTTCTAACAGGATGTCCTAGTGCTGTAAACTTTTGTTTTATTCAATTGTTTCTGCAATAGTTTTCCCTCAGAGGAACCGTACCTTAATGATTAAAGACCCCGGGAACAATGAGCGGTAGATCGTGTTAGAGGCTTGGGCGTATTCTGCAAAGGTGAGCTTGGGCCTCGGTATGTTCTTTCCAAGGTGACGCCTACAGTCCCTTCCCAACCTTGGTTTCAAGAGGGGTTTCCAGGCACAAAATAATGGTGTAGCCTTGAGAGCGTGACGAACTCTCTAAACCACTATTCGTGTTTCCCGGCGGTCCTTTAGCCCCCCCCCCCCGAGTGTATTTGGAAGATAGGACGAAGGAAGCGTGTAGCATGTGAGGATGCAAAGACTACGCCTACCCAGCCCCTTGAAATGCGTTAAGGGAGTTGTCGGTTTGAGAGCCAAGGCTTGTAGTTTAGGGTACCACGTGGGAGAGTGCATAACCAACTGAACAACGGGATAGCACATTGTCTTCAAGTTCCACATTTCCAGCCCAGTATCGTGCTATGTGGGCTATGCTATGTCGTTGGCTGTAAGTGAGGCCGCTGGCGAGTACTTAGAGAAGAGCCTGTTGGTAGTGCCCATATGGGCTTCCTTTACCGAAGGCAGGTTCCTCAAGTGGGTGTTTAGAAATTCCATTTCGAACGAAACCGCGGCCGGAGCGTATCCCATATCCTACGCTGAGGGAGATAGAGTCTTCTCTATCTAAGGAGTGTGGTGGGAGACCGGCTGATGCATTTCAGCCCTTTCGGGAATCCCTTTACCGCGCGGCACATGGTCGAGTGCAAAATGTTTACCCACCTCCTCGGAAGAGATGTCGGCATGTCTGTGGATCTGGTGGCTTCTACACCTAGCCTCATTCTTGAGATTCAGCGATCTTGAGAATCTAAACGTGTGATAAGGCCTTGTGCCAGGTGCGTACGTTAAAGAACCTCATTGTGATGACAATGAGGTGCTTTTAATGACCTAATGGCATTGTGATCCTCAGTGGGAAATATAAAGTATCGGCAATAGTTTTTAAATTTATCACTTGTAAAAATAGTGGCGTTGTCGGAAACCAAAACATACGGAAATCCAAGTGTTGAGAATATTTTATTAAATAGGGTAATCGTGCTATTTGAACCCGGATTTTCTCGGAATACTTCTATTTCAGCCCAGAAGGATTAGATTATTGCCTGTGGAACAGATTCAAAAGTGGTTACCCGGTGGTGTCGCTTTTGATTTTCCTTTTGTTTTGTTTTTCTTTTTTAGGGCTGGTTTTTATATTTACTTCATTTGGGATGTGTTAGAACTAATCAGCCCATGTGCTTTTTACTTGTTTTATTTGTGAGATCGCTTTCTGGGGCATACGCCTACTCTCATCAGACTTTAGTTTCTCGTTTTGATGATGAGGGGAAGCGGATGAACCCGAAATCGGCCTCTTAAATAAAACAAGTAAAAAGCACATAGGTCTGTTTAATATCAACACATCCCAAATGAACTTTTTGATTCAGTTAAATCGTGTCTAGCGTAGTTTTCAGTTGTTTGGCAACCTTATTGACCTCTTTCTGTTTTTTCTCGTCGCTAATTTATTCTATTCTTGTGTAATGGAAATACGGAAAAAATAATAATGATACGAAATGAACTTGTTGAAGTAATAAAACGGACTCCATCTTTTATTTCCATTTCCTTTGCCTTTACAAAATGGACAGATTAGTTGGTAGGAAATCCCACAGTGTCGCTCATGAAACTGGCATTTATACTTAATACATATTAATACATACTGATATTATTATTTATTTTTATTTTACTACGAGAGCAATAAAATACGCCATCTATTCCAGAACCATTTTGAAATAGTATTTGTCGCTGAGTCGATATTTTTTAACATTTAAACCTTAACTTTATTAGGTAGTTCCAGATCGTTTTGATCTGCCCTCGCTATCGCAACATCTCATATCCCCTGTCATACGCGTTTCTAACGAAATTTCGCATTTTCTGCGTTATTTCGACCAAATTAAAGGTTCATCAGGGGCGTCGGTGGCCGCAACTGTTTAGGCGTTGACACGCGCACATCACTATAAGGTCCCGGGTTCGAATCCAGCGGCCCTGCATTTGAACTCGACATACTTACAAACGGGTATTTTTTCAAGAATACTGGCACCACGATGGTTGATATAACCTCTGCTGTTGCGAACCCTCGTTAAAAAAAAGTTCATCATCCCGCTGAGATCACAGAAAAATCTCATACCTTAATTTTAAGTGGAGATAATAATTATTACAAAGGAAATAAAGTAGGTCAAAAGGACAAATATAAAATACAAGGCCAAATGCCGTGTATTTTATAAGCGATAGTGCAGCTTATAGAGTTGTCTTCATTAGAGTATGAATTAATTGACTAAGGGTGAGATAGTGAGTTAAAAAAGACAGATCATAATTTAATATAAAAGTCATGGTTTTGTAACAAACAACCGTCTTATCAAACACTTCAGATTGAAATTAATGGGAATCCCATTTATAATTTATTTTTAAAAAGTTAAAAATATTTGTTTTGTCAAAATCAATTCATTGGTGTACATTAGTTTGAACGTTTCATGCAAGAAGAGTCTTCTGTCCACCAAATGTTATTTTAAGCCAAAAAAAACTCATGCTGTGCTAAGTACTCTCTTTTACGAGCAATGGTCCAATGTTCTTTGGCCAAATTGTTGAAAATACTCCCAAGAAACCCATAAGCCCATCATTTTGCATTGGTGCCTCTTGCATGAACCGATTCAGTTGTAAGAAGAATTTCTGGTTTGTCTTGTTTGCAACAAGTTGGATGAATCATTTTTGTTTGGTTTCTTCTTTGAACCTAAGTGCTAACAAAGAAAAAACAAGTGTTTTCCTTAATTTGCACTTCATTTACACTTTGAGTGCTAATCAAAGTTCATTAACAAAGAGACGACATTGCCTCAAATGTTGAGAAATTGTAATATTTATTTTCACAATAGATTCCGTATTACTTTTAACTGAACTAAAAACCAAATGCTACTGAAGATTAATAATATTATAACTGGGAGAAGCCCACATGGATCAACAGTACTGTTGATAGGTGGCCCTCGGAGGATCTGACTCATAGTCTAGTCATCCTCACTTGATTAAGGATAGACAAGGTTGTCACACGGACACTTACCTCTGGGTCAGAGCCCGCATATGTATCTGATTTGCAGAGAAAGGTTGCTCGAGTGTCCCACCTAATTAAAGGACCAATTCCTTGGCTCCATACAGAGAGTGTGCAGGAATGACAACCAATTTGAGAATTGAGTGCGAGTATTTTGATTCCCTGTTCCGATACTTGAAGGAAACGGGGTTATTCTATTATATATAGTAATAATACTTGTGTATACCTAGCTTGTGTTGAGAGCGAACGTATTTATTAGCGTGATTTTGTGATGTGGGGTCAATTAGGTTAGTTTTGTAAAATGCATAAAGGGTGATGGAGTTCTAGTACTCCACCACCCTCATTGAATGAATGGTAAATAGGAGTAAATGTATTTAAGGATTAACATGAGTACGAATGGATTTGTAACAAGGTATTGGGTGCTGAATTGACCTAGCTGTGGACAGCAGTCCCCCTGAGCATGAGCTAAATTTACACAAATATGGCTGAGTTGTTATATCTCCCAACTTTTGTTGATTCAAACAAATATATGTTTGAAGAAATTTGATGTGTAAGGCTTTTTGATAGACATCGTTAAATGATTTTCCTTTATTAGTCAAATAGCTGGACAAATGGAAATGAATGAAGCATAACAGAATTATTAGACAAATTTGTTCTAATCTAATCACTAACTGTTATTCAAACTGGTCGCCATGATTCATCAGACAGATTCTGTACCAAGGTCAACATTTGTATTTAGCAAAATGTTAATAACTTTAGTAACTAAGCAAATATTTAACATAGAGATTGCACCCTGGGGCTCGACCATATGCTGCATTATTAGTAGAAAATTCCATGCTTTACTGTGATAAAATTTTACAAAATGGAAAAAAGAATTGACAGACTATCGAGTAAAAACCAATTAAATATTTTTCTAAATAAATATTGTAAATGAACAATAATTGAAAAGGTATGATTGACGCATTTGATTGAAGTGCGAATGAGCTGACAAGGATAGAACACAGTTGATCAAGCTACATTATTCTAACTCTAATTATTTGTTTTATTTATTCCAGGCTACGGTTGGATTCCCCCTTCTTCCTGTATGGGCACATTCCAGTGGGTGCCGTGCTATGCTGGAGCTGTACCACCGGCGGCCGTCCATGCGGGGATGGACAGGGACGGTGGACACTTATTCGTCGGAAGGGCGTTCCATGCTGGTGACCTCCTTCCTGCCAAAGTAGCTCCTAATCATGGCACAGCCTTCGTTTCCTATGGCGGCAGTGAAATTTCCAAATCTGACTATGAAGTATGACTGTTATTTCCCTTTTTCCGCCCAGCTTCGCTTCAACCTTAATTTTGTGCAGGTGCTGTGCAGCTCGCACACAGCTTGGAAGTATGCCAGGGGAGGCGAAGTGCCACCAGAAGCAATAAGGATAGGTCAGACGAGTGACGGAGAAGGGCTTTTCATGGGGCGTACCATGCTGGATGGGACTCTCACCCCCGGAAAAGTATTTGGAAATTTTATTATATTTTCATGTGATGTGGTATTTATTGAATTTCACAACCACTTCCTTTATGTTACTTTTTATGTCCTACACAAATTTCGGGAGCAGTGTTGGCACTCTTTTTCTGGACTTGTAGGAGCTCAGAACATATTCTTGAGTATTAAGTTCACTATTTTTCGTGGTCCGCTTGACCAATTAATATCATACAATTAATTAAGGTTTTAAGTTGAGATAAAAAAGTCAGTGTCATGAGCGGGATTCGAACCCACGACCTTTGGCTTGATACGCTGCTACTCTACCACTTGAGGTCACAATAGCTCAAGTGGTAGAGTAGCGTCGAATCAAGCCGAAGGTCGTGGGTTCGAATCCCGCTCATGACACTGACTTTTTTATCTCAACTTAAAACCTTAATTAATTGTATTCTTGAGTATGTTGTGACATTCTATAAATACCCCCATGGACAACAAAAATATTTATTTTGTTTGACTGATTTTTTAAATTTTTCAGGTGCATCCGAGTCATGGGTGTTTGTACGTTCCTTTTGACGGTGAAGAGAGAAGATTCGATGAGTATGAAATTCTGGTCCTTTCATAAATAAAAAATGTTGTAAGCATATGAGCGCTTAGTAAAGAATATTTTTTAATTTGTGTTCATTTCTAACCTTAGATACCCTTTGATGGTAAAAAAAAAATTATATGTAGGGCATTACAATCTGAACATAAAAGTTAAATAATAAAAGAATAAAAGAAATTTGTTTACAAGCAAAAGGGTTTATTGTCCAATTATCTGTTGGGTGTCATGTACAAATGTTTAAACAATACTCCATGGGGTCAAACTTTATAATACTTCTTTCATACTATTCTCAATTAAAACGCCATGGCTTTGCCGGGATTGAACCCATGCGAGGCAAATAAGAGGCGGATACCCCAACCACTCAGCCACCGTGGTTCCAAGAAATCTGCTTAAAAAATTGTAAAATTATTAGTTTATTGTTTTGAGTGTCCATTTAATCCGTAAATATTTTGTTTGTTAAAGTGTAATTCAAGAGATAATTTACAAACTCACAAATACTTTAGATCATGGTATGGTCTTAATGGAAAAAACAAATTCAGTTGTTACTGCCAAGCTTTCGACCTATTTTAAGGTCTCATCAGGGTAAAACAATCTTAATTATTATAATCTATAGACATATTTAAGATTGTTTTGTTCTGATGATGATCTTAAAATAAATCGAAAGCTTGGCAGTAGTGACTGAATTCGCTTTTTCAGCAAGACCATACCATAAATCCAGAGTATTCATGAGTAGAAGAGTAGTCTAACACTAAAAACAGTTACCAAATACATTTTTTTTATATTTTGCGTGTTAGGTTATTTATATGGAAACTTTTTTATGTATGTTGATTTGACAATCTCTTAGTTTCTTGTATGGAAATAAACTTTTCAGAACATAAAATTCTCGATTTTATTATACTAGAGAATTTTTTAAGTCAAATTTTATGACTTGTTTAGGTCTACATTTAGGAACAATTTTAAATAAAAAAATATTTAAATTACAATAATTGGTTTAAGGGAAAATGATTATTTGTACTGTGACAGGACTTACCATAACTAATAGCTCAATTATAGTAATTCTTATTTAATTGCATTGGGAGTCAATGAAGCCAATTTTCAGTCAGTTGATTAGTTTTTCTTTTTAAAGTTTCTATTTTCAACAAGCATTAAAACAAATCAATTAGCCAATAAAACCATTATTAATTTAGTTCGACTATCATAGCTGCTATGTTATTTTATAATTTTAAATCATTATTTCATCTATGACATTACATCGTTTATACAATGCAAAAAAATATATTTTTTTGCATTGTATAAATTCACTTTTTTCCACATCCTACATCTATTTGTTAAATTTAAACAATGTTTGTAAATCCCAGGCCCTGAAGATGATCTCAATAAAGATCAAAACATTGGCGCGATAAAGAAAATGTTTTTCTGAAACCTATATCACACCAGACCGCATCTCTGATTTCTGAATAATTATCAACTAACGGTCACTAATCACCACACTTTTTTAAAATTTTATCTAAGTTTTAATGAAAACATTCTAAAGTTTGCTGTCGTTTTGTCCCATCACAAAATTAATATTTACTGTTATTTCCAGGGAGAAACACTTTACTCGCAGATAATTAACAAGATACAATTAGAATGTAACTAAAAAAAATTAAGATTTAAAAAAATTATTGAAAACAATAAAATTTACCATGCACCCAAAAATATTAGGGTGAGCTATCATTTTGGTCCAGACCTTAACTTCAGATGGATGGAATGGTTTAAGAGAGAGATGAGGAGGAAGTGGTGTGCCAAAGTCATGCATACTTGAGCATAATTTGTATCTGAATGAAGGTGTAAGGCTGGGTTCTAAATGGGTGCAAACAGGTTTGATTTACTGCCAACTGATTTATGTAAGCTCAAATCTGTACATGCATGCACACATATAGAGTTGAGCGAATCACTTTTCATGTCCACAGGAAATTCAAGTGTTTGAAGTTTGCAATGAATTGCTAGCATGGCTTGAGAATTACCTACACTGGGGTGAGACCTCCCCAAATGTCCCAACGCAATCAGTTCCTAAATCCACCCCATTCACACATCCACACACAAACACACACACTCTCTCTCTCTTAATACATTCTTTTCTATTTACCTACCATACACTCAATTAGGGTGGTGAAGTACTCAATATTCCTTCATCACCTTTCACACAAAAATATAACAAGCCGAATTGGTGGTCGATGGGGTTCTCAGTATTCTGCCCTTGACCCTCACACAATCATGCGAATAAATACATTCACTCTCAACACACGCTAGGCATCTAAAAGCAGTACTATATAAAATCAAGCAACCCTGTTTCCTCCAAGAATCGGAACAGGGGACTAAGATACTTGCTGCCATGTTCAAGCACAATTCTCATATCAGGTGGTATTCCTAAATGGAGCCAAGGAATTGCATGATCAATTAGGTGGGACACATCAACCAACCTTTCTCTACATACCAGATTTGGCCCAAAAGTAAGCGTCCATGTGTCAACTTGCATGGGCTATACTTGATGATCTCTCTTCTGAGTCATATCCTCTGAGGGCCATCTATCAACCAAGCTTTTGAAGCTTGAGAGCTTCTCTACCTGTGCCCTTTTAGCTTAAAGTAAAAATCTATCGACCGCTTTTTTACTCACAACTAATCTACATCTTGGTATGGTCTGGATGAAAAAACAAATTTAATTGTTACTGCCAAGCTTTCGACCTATTTTAAGGTCATTAACGTTTTTAAGTGTTTCATATTCCTTTGAGAGCTACTCAGTCCCAACATTGCCAAGGACTGTAACACTATAGCAATTTTAGCACCAGAGGGCGGATCCTGGTGGTTAAGTGGTTGGAACCTTAGCCACCTTTTTGTTACCCTTCAGACCTAAGCATCCGAGAACCCAGACAACAATCACTGTTTTATTTATCGTAAAGATTAATTTTTAATTTAAATTTCTTTATTTTTATTCATATTGTCATAATTAATCCTGTCAGACTTGAATAAAATTCTAAAGGCCTATGGCAGGATTTGAGCCCTGTACCATGGCAAATCAGACGCCCTGATAACATGCCGACTGTTATCTCCTTATATATTTGTATAAACGTACAAAACGAAAATTAAATTTCTGTTTCAATATAACTGATTTATTTAAGATCATTACATATAAATCACACGATTTTACACTGGGAAATTTTATTATAATCATTTTAACCTACATTATTTTTACATAAATAATGCTTACATTAATACCTTTGAATTACCGTTTTTTTTAAATAATTTTAAATAAAGCTTTAAATTATGTATGAAATTACAGATCGTATCAATTTTGTCAACGCTATAGTATACAAGCCAGCCTTTTCGATAAAAATTTTTATAAAGTGAAAATTATAACTCTTTTAGTATTTAAATAATAACAGTTTGGCATTTAAGTTTTAAGATTTATATATATGTATGCTCTCAGAACTAACATAAACGGAGCAACTTATGAATTCAACAAAATAAATTTTTTTTTTCTTTAAACAATTTTCTACACCATTTTCTAACAAATAATCCTCTTCTTGAAATTCAAAAAGGGGCAAAAATTCAAAACAACAATTAAATAACAAGTTTACAATATTGCTAATAAAATAAACTATAGGCATTTTTTATAATAATGTTCAAGCCTAACAAATCGGGGCGGTAAACCCTGGGAAAACAGGATTAACATCGATTTAAATGACTAATATGGTTTTAATTTGTACGACTGTTACACAAAATACTAGATAAACAATACAACCTGGACACGAAACATTATTTATATTTTTTTTTCCGTTTAGTTTTAATTTTCATAGTTACACAGATTATATTTTATTGAACATTTTAAAAGGAAGAAAACATCCAAAGGATTAATTTGACACAACACTGATTTTGTAGTATGTGAATTGATTAATTTTCGAGTGATTTTCAGCAATTGTCAACTGAAAAGCACATACAATGTTATTGCACACCTCAAATCGCAATTTAAACTTTCATTAAAAAGAAACAAAAATATAACACTAGATGGCAACTTATAATATACTGACTAGCTTTCGGTTAAAAATAACATTCTAACTCTCACAACGAATGTGACATAATGTCCTCTAGAAGAAAAATAATAATAATATATGTGTATATTACAACAATGTCCAAAACAAGTTTACTATCAAATTTGTCAGGGAGCAATTAAATTAAACATTAAATAAAAAATAAATCATTCAATTTATAGGCCATCATGGTGATCATTTTATGACGATTGCAATTGTTTTGAACACGTTCGTACATACACCTTTAAGCAGTTTAAATGTCAATCTTATCATCTAAAAAAAAATATATTTGTAAAATTATTGATTAATTGGACATTGCAAAGATCTAATCTTTTTGCTTTTGGTAGACAGAATTGACGGATTTTCTTGTTTAAATCTAAGTCAAAAATTCAGTCATTTGTGCCAGTGAAAGTTTCTTTTTGTTAAAAAAAAATTTTCATTTTTCAAAGCTATTCCATTTAATAAGGAAATCCATCAAAGTCTGATTTGGCATAGGCCAAAAAACAAAAATTTATAAAATAAAATTCAATATGAATCTTACAATTTGTTCTATTTGATTGACTACTAACTACACATTTCAGTCCCTTAATTAAGAGTGAATGACAATTGAGCTAAGATTTGTAATTAGGACAATGTCACTTCAGGAACTAAAAGAATGAGCATCAAAATTATACATTAAAAAATACAAATAGCTCCCGAACAAATTTCTCTTTTTCATTTTGAACAACTGTAATAAAAAAAAGTATTGGCCAATATTTAAAAACTATAATATTTTTCTTTCTAGAAACTATTTACACAAAACTATAAGCATTTTCAATGGCACGTCCACCGACTACGGAAGCGACAGATCCTCCCGAGCCTGTCTCTTGCACTCTCTCCATAGATTCAGTCCTCGTTCTGATGGACCCTCCGTGAATGAATATCTCCCTCTGCTCAGGAGTCGGAGGGGCCCGGCGATCCGGATGTGTGCCTGCATGCTGCCTCGAATTGTGCGCATGGCTCTGGACTGTGGCTACGACGTAGTGGGTGAGGGTGACATCGGCAGTGCCTCCAGATTCCAGAGGTATCGGGTGCTGTCGAAAATGCTCAAGCATGTCAAAGATCGAAGCGAACCACAGGTGCTGTACTCGACACTGACTCGTATCGTTGATGGTCATACGTAAGTGTTTAGCTCTCCCGTGAAAGTTAAAAGTGAGAACAAACTCTCCTTTTCTCGTCTCGCTCTGTCTGACGAGGAAGACACCGTGCCCGGAAGAGCCCGTGTGAAGCACCAACGATGCCGCTTCAGCACGAGGCAGAGTACCGTGGAACCAAGGATACTCTTGCAAGACGACGGACAAGTCTACCTCAGTCTCCTGAGTTTCTTCGGCGTTGTAAGAACACAGTTCAAAGTTGCTGTTGGAAGCCCCTTCTTGGAGGCGCGGTGGTAACTCGGGTGGATCATCGGTATCGCCAGAACAGTGGGGTTTTGGGATTCTCCCTTCGGACGCTGAACCAATGAGGCTTTGCGTCTCACCGGCCTCATCGTTGGTGTTCCTAGTGCAGTACTTGACCGTCGCCAGCCACGACCTCATATCATCTATGTCATGCGCTTCTATCACATATTCCATGTTGTTATCGGCTTTGAGGACAAAAGTGTTTTCATGGTCAGGCATTTCGAGGGCAGTCGTCTCTCTTGCTTCGGTGATGAGAAAACAAAATAGGCCACTTTTCGGTTTCGTGCTCTTGGGCGGTGAGTAGAACTCGAGCATGTAACCTCCGACCGTCTTGACAAGGGCCAACCGGCATTTTTCCCACTTCTGTGTACCGTCAGGATTCTCTCCAATGAGATAGTTGACGTTGCCCTCCTTCCGGCACTCCACGACGATCTTGGCGAGTTTAGTCTTGGAAGTCTTTTCAGTCTTTGCGCCCTTGGACGCGTTTGGGTCGTTCTCGTCGGAGACCTGTCTGTAGAAGAAGCCCTTGCCCTTCTTGAGCGCTTTGAAGGAGAGCCTCCTGAAGAAGGGACGGTGGAAGGGCTTCGGGGACTTGTGCTCGGGCGCTTGTTCGAAGTAGTCGCTGTTCTCGTCGTTGTGGCTCTCGTGGTAGCCGTTGACGCCCGACGAGCCGCCCGCGCTCCCGTTCGCCACCGGCCGCTTTTCCTGTTCCCTCGCCAACTCCCGTTCGAAGTTCTCGACGAAGCTGTCCACGAACTTGGTCAAGAATTCCTTGTGCTCGACCGTCGTCGAATCGGGGTTGTGGGACTCGACGTATGAGAAGAGCGACTTGGCGAACTCCGCCGCCGCCGCTTTGGCGTGCTTCTCGCAGAAGTCGACCCAGTTGATCCCCTCGCCCTCGCCATCCGCGCTGGCCATTTCACTTTATTTATCTCTCATTTCCGCCCATTCGCGGAGAAACGGGACGAGTCCCGGACGTGCCGATCCCGGAAGACAACCGGCGGATGGACCGTCCACAACCCTTTTTTTTAATTTATTTATTTTTTCTACGAGCGGATCGACGGCCCTGCCTCGGATCGCCTTCTCAAAATCTACAGATGCACGTCGATTCAACTGAAAGTCTAAAACGGGCCCGATTTTCACCCGCACTCACATTGTGTACGTCTGACTTCATTAGCCTCGCCGACGGCTTCTAAGTCTAACTCAGTTCTAACGCCGAACAATCCGAGGAGGAGCCCAGTGATGCCAACGGCACACGTGAACGCATACAATCTCCCCGTTCAAACATTGAAAATTAATGTGTAGTATTTAGTGACCGTTAATTAATGATTATTTAAACATCTTGGGATTCGATCTTGTATGAGTTTTATTTATTTATTTGCCATGATATTTTTTAACAATAAGTAATTTGCGCACATATGTATTTTTGAAAGAAAGTGGCGGGGCCCTATGTGTCCCCTTTAGCATATCTCCATTTGTGTACCACACTTCCTATTGTCGATATTGATGGGAAAATGTTCACGAAAAACCCATTAATGGGTCTTGTATGATGTAAGTTTAGAAAAACATTTTCTTTATTGTGCCAACGTTTAGACCATCTTCAGAGCCTGAGATGTACAAACATTGTTTGGATTATACATGTAACATACTTATATTATACATGTACATTATATGTGAATTATACATGTACATGCTTACACATATTAGATGTGAAAATGAATTTATGATGAATTAATGATGTACGCAATATAGAAATTTTCGGTTTAGTCAAAGTATTTGTACTCACTCACAGGGTTTTTCTGTGTAGATGTGTCAAGGTTGTGTGTCGTGTTAAGAGTGTTAGTGAGGTATTAATGTTTTTTTGTTTATTTACATTTGATTTTGAAGGAGAGGGGAAGTAAGTAAGGATAGAAATTCATTTTTCTATGAGGAGTCGGCTTCTTTGAGGTGAAAGAGTGAAATAGAACGAAAATCAAAACACATAGCTAAACTAACAGTAAGTTTTAATTTGTAGTAAGTATTTAGTGAGTTATGTAATGTTTATTTAGAGATCGTGAAATGCGATCTGGTGTGATGTAGGTTTTAGAAAAACATTTTCTTTATCGTGCCAACGTTTCGATCTTTATTGAGATCATCTTCATGTCCTGGGATTTATAAACATTGTTTAAATTATACACATACATGTAGGATGTGGAAAGAATGAATTTATACAATGATGTTCACAATATACAAATTTTAGGTTTTATATATGTTAAAAACATGAATTTATACAATCCTATAAATTTTAGATTGAAACAAAGTATTCATTCTCCATCAAAGTGTTTGTTTTCTGTGTAGATGTGTCATTATTGTGTGTCGTGTTGAGAGTGCCAGTGAGAATCTACACAGAAAAAAACACTTTGATTAAACCTAAAATTTCTATATTGCGAACATTATTGTATAAATTCATTCTTTCCACATCCTACATGTATTTGTAAAATTTAAACAATGTTTATAAATCCCAGGCCCTGAAGATGATCTCAATAAACATCGAAACGTTGGCACGATAAAGAAAATGTTTTTCTAAAACCTACGTCACACCAGACCACATCTCACGATCTCCAAATAATCATTTAAGAAAAAAATTAAAGTACCTAAGTAACTAATTAATGTACCATTAAAAATTAATTAAAATAATTCATGATAGATTTCTTATCATCGCTGGGTTAGTCTGTCAGACGCGTTTCAGCATTCATGGGGACGGCGTTTTCTTTATGTTTCGGTGCATGAGAAATACTTCCAGGAAATTATGACCAAATACATAACAGATAAGGTGATGATATTATTCTCATAGTAGCCGTCAACAGCAACCTAAACCACATACTGACAACAAACTTCAACTGCTTACAGAAAAAAATACATTCCACAGCAGAAATAGAAAACAACAACGTTTAAATTTCTTAAGCATAAAAATCACTAAAAATGACAACAAACTACAATTCGACATATACAGAAAACCAATAGAGACCGACATCACACATGCCGACTCAAGCCACATACACAGAGACAAAACAACGGTAGCATTTAAATACTTCACAGACATACAAAAAACAGTACAACAAAAATGAAGATGATCAACAATAAAAACCGTTCCGGTATAACGGGCACAGCATAAACACAACTAATAAAATATTAAACAAAACATACATAAGAACAGCAACCCTATCCCAACAACTAACAAATTTATTCAACATCGGTACCGAAATTCTCCAAAACCTGGAGAAACACAATAATCCGGTGATATATTGAGAATCAGGAAACAAGAGAATTTTGGGTAACGAAAAAACAGACGCAGAAAAGGTTCTGCAAGACCATATATAGTTCCTGGTCGGAAACGACCAAAATACAGGTTCAACACTTAGCAGGCCTCAAGGAGAAATCTCATAAGTGCTAAAAGGCTATTCTAAAGTCAAAAGAATTAGGTTCTTTAAAAATCACGAGAACGCGTTTTGTATGACTAAAGGCGGCACGGCACGTCTCTACTTAAAGCGGCCTTTATCCTTTGGGCGATTAAGACTATTGGACCTTTTTCCAACTTAAATTTAGGCTGTTTACCGAATAAGCAACTAAGACTTTTACAAGAACTACATCTCTGCCAAATCTGTTCGATGCATCGTCACATGCGATTAAAATTGAATATATATTACATCCCTACGTAAAGTCAAAATGTAAAATGATATTTGACCAGGTGGACGTCACAAATAAGATTTGCATTTCAAAAATATTGATACACACGATGTTCGTTCCTGATGGTCAGGGTTAAAATTCAAACTTTGTTTCATTTGTACTGATCCTTTTAGTGATTTTTACATGTGTAAAATAATCGCATGGGTAAAAATGCTGAAAAAACAAAACTGACATGAAAATATGTGAGGAGAAATCACTCAGTGGTAAGCCATTTTTAGAAGGAATAAATAACGACCGCTTTTTCAATTTTCTTCGTCTCTACATGACCATCGGCGTTTCAGTCAAGGGGGGGGGATCTGAGACGGTAGTGGATCTGAGCTGATGGACGAAAGCAATGGGTTGTGTGGAAAGGGATTGATGGAATTTTTAATAATAGGTTTCCGTAACTTCTGGAACAAAGGGAATATTAAGGTCTCGATGCAGGGTGAACAATTTTTCTTAACTTTCAATTGGAATCTTTGGATGGGTTGAGAGCTGGAATGTTTGGTTGACCCCTCAGAGTTCGATGCCGTAAGTCCATATAGATTTGCGAACCATGGTGTATATTATTTTTTTGTAATTAAGTGGAAGTTCGGATCGTCCGTCGAGCAATGTCGAAAATGTTTGTCTTGTGTATATTTAGTCTTTTGTGCGGAATCCATAAAAGTCGTTTGAGAATATTAAGTCCCAAGTAACGTACACGTTCGACAGGGCTAGGAAATCTCAAATCATCGAGTGTGAAGTTAATGTATCGGCTCTTCTTTGCATATATTTTAATTCTCCACTTTTTGGACCAAATGTCCACCGTGCAGATCGAATTGAATTCAGTATTAATTTGGAGTTGATTTCCGCTTTTGCTTAACTCCAAATAATTTCCGACATAAGGCTCAATATTTCACGAATCACATATCCAGACATTTTAGGTTATTCTGGTACCTGTTAAATTTCATTGTCAGATTGAGAAGATGAATTTTGAAAATTTTCGGTGCGTTTTTCGATCTTATACATTCTTTCTATCGCACTTATTCTCTCATTCCTCCCTCCTCTCACTCACTCTCTCTCACTCACTCTATCTATCTCTATCTCTTACACCCTCACTCACTCTTTTGCTCTCCTTCGCTAGCATTCATTTTCACTCTTTCTTCCTTTTTTTTCTTTCATCCTTTCATTAACACACACTCCATTTTTCTATCATGCTTTCTCTCGCACACAATATATTCCTTTCGTTCCTACTTACTCGCTTTCATTTACTATTTTTTCTTCTTGCTCCTTTTTCTATCTTCCACTCTCTATCCTCCTCCTCTCCTTCGCTTTCCCTCTTTCTTTATTTTTCCGTCCTTTTCTTATTCATCTCCTCATTTTTATATAAAATACTTTTTTGTCTATTCTTTTTTCTCTTTATAATCTATTTCTTCCTTTCGTAGCCCCTCTATCTCTTACTCTTGCTCTATAATTTTCTCTCTCTCTTTACTTCTTTCTACTCTCACCATTTCTCTTTCAAATACGTATGTTTTTCTATTCTTGTTTCCTTCGCATTCAAATTATTTCTTTCCTACTATCTCTATCTTTATCTCTCGTCTCTCTCTCTCTCTCTCTCTCTCTCTCTCTCTCTCTCTCTCTCTCTCTCTCTCTCTCTCTCCCCAGTTATTAAATAAAAACTCTCTTTCTCTTTGTCTACTATATGTTTATGTTCTTTTCCATTCTTCCCTTGTAATCTATCTATCTATCCATATATCAATTTATCTATCTATTCATTCTCTTAGTTTTATATATTTCCCTCCATCGCTCTCTCTCTCTCTCTCTCTCTCTCTCTCTCTCTCTCTCTCTCTCTCTTTGTCTACTATATGTTTATGTTCTTTTCCATTCTTCCCTTGTAATCTATCTATCTATCCATATATCTATTTATCTATCTATTCATTTATATATTTTTATATATTTCCCTCCATCACTTTCTCTCTCTCTCTCTCTCTCTCTCTCTCTCTCACTTTCTCTCTCTTTCTCTTTGTCTACTATATGTTTCTGTTCTTTTCCATTCTTCCCTTGTAATCTATCTATCCATATATCTATCTATTCATTTATATATTTTTATATATTTCCCTCCATCGCTCTAACTCTCTCTCTCTCTCTCTCTCTCTCTCTCTCTCTCTCTCTCTCTCTCACTCTCTATCTATCTATCTATCTATCTATCTATCCCTCTATCTCTCTTTCTGACACGGTCTATCTATCTACCTTCCCCTCTCTCACATTTTTAGTTAACTATTTTTATTTGTTTATAAGGACTTAACTAAAACTAATCTCCGTTTGATTTAATCTCGGTTCCGGGTCAAGTTTTCTAATACCTTCTGGTTCGGGGATGTCGTCTTATCGAAGGATCTTTCTAGTTCCGCAAAAATTGCATGCTACAGTCTACATCATATTTATGAATCCTCTGTCCGCTGTCGGTCTAGTTTAAACCAACCCCATGGAATAGATTTTAATCCCTTTTGAGTTCAGAGCCAATTTTCGATAGAATTTTTAGGAAGA